GCCCTAAATCCTTTAATTTATGCTGTATTTTACCCTTGGTTTAGGAAAGCAGTAAAACTTATTATAACTGGCCAAGTGTTAAAAGATAGCTCCTCCACCATCAATTTATTTTCCAAAGGAGCATAAATACGAGGAATGAGAAATTTGTACAGATATTGTAGATCTGAAATTTAGTTCATGGATATTATCTATTAAATTGAAGAATGGAGACAAATATTACCTTATATATTCATAATACTGCCCACTTTATACTTTCAGTTATTTGGTGGCATCACGAATTATTTGCTACAATGGTGTTTATTTACTAAATGGTATAAACAGGGTTTGCCCTCTTTTCCTTAAGGGGCACTTACAGGTTCTCCTACCTACTTGCCTCACAATTTGTGTCCCTCAGGCGGTCAGGTGTTATTTCCTTCTTCCTAGTCTCCCTTCATGCTTCCACCTCTGTCACTTTCACAGGTTCCTGGTTTCATGTTTCCTGTTAACGCAGCGTCTTTCTCTGGATGGGACTGAGTTTACCTTTACTTCTCTGCACCGTGTTTCTTGTGGTTTGTCCCTTCTGGAACTGCTAGGACTTCTCTGTATCCTTTTTATAAGTTATGTTGGACTCAGTACAGGAATCACATTTCATAGTGTTGGCAATAACCATGAACTGAGGAGGTAATTTCTACGATGATTGTTTCCCTGCATGAAGTTTGTGATGCTTCCTGCCCACCCAGGTAAAGCGCAATACTGTATATTTTCATTTGGGATTCCAACGTTTTCTGCAAAATAACCAACGTTTGTATACTGTGGATAATCAAAATATCATGGCACTTAAAGCTGTAGAAAAGAATAACTTATTCAAGAAATGGTGATCAGACATAGAAATTCTTAGATAAAATATTGTTGAGCATCTTGCTTTATTTCCAATATTAAGGACTCCTGGGAAACTATTGTTCTATAATTTGTATTGGTGGAATCATATAGAAAATCTCGTTCAATACATAACATTTGATTTAAAGTTTTAAACTGTAAAAGAACACAAATAAAAGTTGAAGTAGAAAGACAAAAATATTACTTCAATACTTAAAAAATCATGTGTCTTAGCATTCCCACTGCTACATATATACTCAAAGGCCTTAAAAACAGAGACTCAAACAGAGATATTTTTGCCATTGGGTAGAAACAGATAAAATGTCCTTCAGCAGATGAATGAATGCACACAATGTGGTCCATATATACAACGGAACACTCTTCAGCCAGTAGAAGAAATAAAGTCTTGATACAGATTACAAGGTGGATAAACCCTGAAGTCATATGCTGTACAGAATGAGCTCATGACAAAAGGGGATACAGTGTACAGACCCATGATATTTTGTCATATAAATACAGGAAAGGAAAAATGTAATTTCATTATTGATCACCAAGATACGACTTAGGTGGGGAAAGGAGGGTTAACATTGGTGAAAAAGTCCCATTGGTTAAGGTGAGGTGGCGTGATGATTCCTGTCGTAGTTATCAATAAGTGAATGCCTGGCTAAAGTGGT